TTTTTGTCAAATGCTTTATAATATAGTATAGACTAGAAGGGTACTCGCGCAATGTAGCAAGATAAATCTTCATTTTAATGTTTAGTTTTTATTATGTCTCTATCGATATGATACGATTTTATATGATTTTGAGAAAGCGATAATGTTTTTAACTTGAATGAAATATAAATTTGAAGATAACATAAAATTAAAAAAAAAAAATTAAATCGATAGTAGTATCAAATTAATTATTTAATAGTTATCATTTTTTGTGTAACTTCTTTAATTTAATTTTTTATTATAATTTAATTTAGATTTAATAACAAAGTAATTTATTTTTTATTTAATAATATAATTTTTTATAAAGATAATAATTAAACGCTTTGTTAAAACTCAATCATTATCTTTATTATATTTTAGACTTTCTATATTTTAAATGAATATTTATTCTGTATTTGATTATATTTATCTGCAGTTAGTTACATAAATTTAAAAATATGGGTTTAATAAGTTGTACCTACGGTTTAATATATTGGTTGGCTTGGTGAGGGTGATGGCCATGCCATTCCTTATCCTTCCTCTTTTGCCTTTAAAAAAAAAAGTTGTACTTATGCAAAATTATTTGTAATCTTGAATATCAACTAATATGCATCAACATATAGTAATTCATACATAAAAAATAGTTTTAAGAGTTTTTGTCAAATGTTTTATAATATAGTATAAATATAGATTTTTTATAACGACAATAATTGGTATTTTGTTAGAATTCAATGGCTATCTTAAATATATTTTAGATTTTTATATTTAAAATAAGATATATATCCAATATTTGATTATGCTTATCTGCAATTAGTTATATAAATTCAAATGTTGAGCTTTAATAAGTTGTACATACGCACAATTTACTTGTAATATTGAATTTTAAGTAATATGCATCAATAAACAATACTTAATGCATACAAAATGGGTTTTAAATTTTTTGTCAAATGCTTTATAATATAGTATAGATATTCAAACTTATACTATAAAAAAATAATTTAAGAAAATGATAAAATAATCAAAATGTCCTCACATAAAAGGGCACCTAACGGAGGTGGGTTAACGGAGTTAGGTGCGTAACATAAGTGAAACTATAGGAATGCTCCTTGTAATTATTTCACTCAAGGGACCCAATCTATAATATTAATATAACCACAGGGACCAAAAAGTAATTTACTCTACCAGGCAATATATTCCCACAAAGAGGGATTTGAGGTTCTGCGTTTGCGTTTTCTGTGCTTCATTCTCACACCCTCGCCTCTGCAACAACCGAAGTTCCAAATCCAGACATATTTAGGGTTTTATAATCCTCATTAACACCAATGGCATCTCATTCTCATATCGATGACGTAAGTAATAGATTATAGGGTTTTGTTGTGTTAAGTTTAGTGCAATATTCTCTCAATAGCATTATTCGTGGAGGATTTGTTTTCTAATGAATGGAAATCGCAGGATGATGATTTCGGTGGTGATTTTCCTGGAGCAAACCCTACGAGGGTCTCAGGTATGAGTTAATTTTTGAAACTATAACTAGTAGTGTGCTTGAATTAGTATAACTGCTTGCGTTTTACGTTTCGATTTCATAATGTGATTCCAGGCACTAAGAGGGCATTTGGAGATCTTGATGATGACGAAGATGATATTTTTGGCTCCAAAAAGGTTTATATTTTGTTTTTAGTCGATTCTCGTGTTTTATTTGTTATCAATTTATACTACTTCATTACTACAATTGAAAGATGCATTGTAAAAGAGACGAGTTTATCTGTATGTATATGTCCTAGATTGCGGACTTTAACTTTGGAACCGTGGGAGGATTTCGCTGTTATGTACTCATAGACGTTGTTTCAAACTGAGGGGCTGTTTGGCAGTTGCTGAATGATTTAGTTCAGAATAGTTAAGAGGTTAGAATGGCTAAGAGG